GGTCTCGACAGGTTGCTTACAGTCTGGCTAAGTTGCTGAGGCTGGCTTCCAACTTGATCCTCCTGCCTCAGCCTCCCTAGCTGCTGGGATTACAGGCCAGCCTCACCCCCACCCCCCTTAAGTTTATTTTAATGATTAACTGTTGCAGTGCTGGGGATGGGAACCAGGGGAGTGCGCCCCCACCAGAACAGAAAAACAACGACATCATCGCACACTAGAAACTAAACAACTAAAACAACAACAACAACAAAACAAGTGATAGGACTAAGTTTTGGACAAGCAAACAATCTTCTCCCCTACACGGGTGGTGGGAGGGAAGTGATTAATCCAGCTGATTAGCATATGCTACCGCTAGATGCAGCCATAAACTTTATTGGTAAAAATTTAAAACTGGAACCCACCCACAGTTCATCCACAGATCGATCCACCGGAGGAAGGGAAGCGACGTGAAGTGTCTTCCGTGAATCACCTGCAACCACACGAAAGAGCGCATGGAAGAAGTCCTGTTTCCCCTTCTCCTCTCCTGGCAGGGAGGGGTGTCAATTAACACGTCAGTTTCCTAGCAATCCCATTCGTGTGACCTCCAAAATGCATCCTGAATCCCACCGCGTCGGGCCGCCCCGGGGTCACCACCTGGGCTGGCGGCAGGGGCGACACACCTGCACTCTTCACCCTCTGCGCCCGAAGCTCCCGGCTTTCGCCGCACCTCCGCGAGGGGGCGCCAGTTCCCCTTACCGCAGGTCAGGTGCGCCCTGGGCCCGCGAATTCCAGGGGCACCTGCGGACGCAGAGAAGCCAACGGGATCACCGAGGGCCACAAGGCTCTGCAGTATCTGGCTCCTTCCTCTCTGCCCTCGTATCTGACTTGTCCTCCTGGCTCATTCACTTCAGTCCAGCCACATCGTCCTCCTCTCAGTTCCTGGGAGATAAAAACTCAGCCTAGGGCCTTTGCAGTGGCTGTCCCCTCTGCTGGCATGTTCTTCTGCCAGGTACTCACATGGCCCACCTCTCACCGGCTTCGCATGTCTGGCCAAATGCCTCTTCCAACAGAGAACTGGGAGATATTCGGAATTATTGTTAATTAGATGTAGTAGAGAGGTACAATGATAAGAATGCCTTCGCCACTAAAGGACAGGAAGGGAAGTCTCCATGGGTGTCTGAAATGAATTCTAAATGGCTCATCAAGCACGGAAATGTGAGAAGCAGCAGATGTGGCAAAACACGACCAGTTGCTGAATGCTGGTGGTGGATCTAGGCTGTGAACTGTCCTTCTGCCAGGGCGTCCTGCATGCTAGACAAGAGCTCTACCACGCAGCTACACTCCAGCCCTAAAAAGGTCTTTTAAATGCCACCTTCTCCGTGAGCACTTCTGTGGGCAAGATATTTAAAATGACATTCCCTATCCGAGCACAGTGCACATCTGTAATTCCAGAGACTGGGGAAGCTGAGGCAGGAAGAGTCCAAGTTCAAGTTCAGCCTCAGCAACTTTGCAAAACTTAGCAAGACCATTCTCAAAATGAGAATTTTGAGGATTTCTCAAAAAAGAAAACAAACCTGGGTGTGGTGGCACACACTTGTAACCGGGAGTTCAAAGCCAACCTCAGCAAAAAGTGAGGCACTAAGCAACTCAGTGAGACCCTGTCTCTTAAATAAAATACAAAATAGGGCTGGGGATGTGGCTCAGTGGTCCAGTGCCCCTGAGTTCAATCCCCGGTACCCCCCACCATACCCATCATATATATATATATGAAGGAATGATATTTACCACTGAATTTGATCTCCAGTACCAAAAAAAAAAATAATAATAATAATAAAAAAGATGCTCCCTTCCAACATTATCACCCTTCCCTTGTTCATTTTTTTAAATAGCACTTATCTCTAACATATATATATATTTCATATACTTTATAATAAATTATAAATGTAAATAAATACATTATATGCTATATGTAAATGTCTTTTATATCTAACACCTAAATACATATACTTATTAATATTTAAGTATGCAAATATGCCTAACAATGTATCAATATATACCTTATAATATACAAATGTGTATACTTTATGACAAATAAATAAATATGAAAATGTGATTAAATAAATATATTATGCTATACCAAATGTAGAGTTTAGAACGTCAATTCTCCCACTGTGCCACAGGGTGGTAGGGTGGTAGGGTAGGAGGGTAGGAGGGTGGGAGGGTAGGAGGGTGTTGTGATCCTCTCCTTTTGTCCCCTGCTGGATCGCGTTCCCAGCCCAGGGTCTGGCACAGAGGGCGCACAGGAAGTGCTTGTAACATGAATGAATTCCCTTTCCTGGCTCAAAGGCCCAGGGGTCCCTGGAGAGCCGGGAGCCCCTTCATGCCAGATCTGCCAGTGGCCAGGGGTGGTTCCATTTCCTCTGCTTGGGACAGGCCATGCCCTGGGAGCAGAAAGGGTTTCTGTTGGCCTTCTGAGCACCTGCCCAGTGCCACAGCCGTCTCGGTGCAGCCTCCCCACAAACCTAAGAGACAGGTCATTACTGGCCTCATTTGATACATGAGGAAACCGAGGCAAGGAGAGGATGCCATTTGCCCAAATCCACAACAGCCAGGAAACAAGGAGCTAGGATTCAAACCCAGGCAGGTGGCCCCAAAGTCCCCTTGTTAACCAGGGAGTCTTACCACCTGGGGAGGCGCCCCGGGAGGCAAGGCCACAAGTTTAGTCCTTGCTTTTTTTTTTTTTTTTTTTTTTTTGAGAAAATGTGTCCTATCCACTGGGGCGTGTGTGTGTGTGTGTGTTTGTGTGAGGGGATCACACTAGCCTTCCCTGGCTGCTTGGATCGTCCACCTTCCAGAAACGAAGGCTCCATGCCAGGGAGCCTACTTGATTCCTTTATCCCCGCGGGCGGTGAGTTCAAGTCCACCCACAACCGCAGACCCCCTGGCGGGGTCCAGCGCCACGGCCATGCATTCAGGAAGCACCCGGCCCCTCGGAGCCGGCGCCTCCGGCCTGGCCTCAGCCTTCGCGTCCTGCTGCACAGAGGAGGGGCGGGCGGGTGGCACCAGCAGATGGTCGGAGCTGGAGGCCGAGGCCTTCGCCTAGCAACTGGTGACGTCACCTGGCCAGCCAGCGATTGGCTGCGCTCCTGTGCGGTTCTCAAATTCCCGGTCTCCAGTTTCCCGAAGGTCCTGCTGGGTCCTGCGGAGAGTCCGGCCGGAGGGGTCCCGGAGCTGCGGCGCGATCTGAGGAATGGCACCGGCGGCCGGAACAGGGATTCTCAGCCAGGAGTCAGTGAGGGCTCAGGGAGGGACTCTTATTAAACTTTTAAAATTGCACGCAAATGCGAACACATGATGTGAACGTTGGGTTTTTGGTTTTTGTGGGGGTTTTTTTTGGGGGGGAGGGCAGGTACCGGGGGTTGAACCCAGAGGAACTTAATCACTGAGCCACTCTAATTTATTAAGAGACAGAGACTCGCTGAGTTAATATTGGCGCTTCCCTAAATTGCTGAGGCTGGCTTTGAACTCGCAATCTTCCTGCCTCAGCCTCCAAAACAGCTGGGATTACAGGGGCGCACCACCACGCGCGGCCACAGATATGGACGCTGGGAGGAGAGACAGCCTGCGTTCCCCCAGCCACTTAGCCCTGGAGTAGCCTGGGGCAGGGGAATCTTAGTGATCTTATCTGT